AAAAAAAAAAAAAAAAAAAAAAACAAGTGCAGCAGCTGAACGGCCCGTTCTGCTTGGAGAACTGCCCGTTCTGCTTGGAGAACGGCCCGTTCTTCTTGCAAAACGGCCCGTTCTGCTTGGAGAACGGCCCGTTCTGCTTGATAAACCCCGGACTGCGTCTCCAAACCCAGAAGGCCTTGTACAAATTTCTGCTCCTGTCTGCAGCCAGATAAACATTACGATACGTTCGAACGGAATAAAGAAAGGAGGGAAGAAGATAAGAAAGGAACCTTCGAACGTAGGAAATGAGCGAAGAACGGGAACGAAATCTGAATGCTCCCAAACAATGGCGTTACGTGTTGGCTGCGAAATCTGAACAAAATCTGAACGAAATCTGGTGAAGAATGGAGAGGCGTTACGTGTTGGCTGCGAAGCAGGGAGAGCGGAAAGGAAATCTGGTGAAGAAGGAGAGGCGCTACGCAACTTAAATTCAAAAATTCAACTTCATTTACGTCGGACAACAAAGGGACCGACGTAAATTCAACAATCTACGTCGGTTGTAGTTGAGGTCCGACGTAGATTGTTTAATTTACGTCGGTCCCTTTGTTGTCCGATGTAAAAAAAATTGCGTTATTTTCAAAAAATGTCACCGCGTCGTTTTTACGTCGGATATGTTGTAGTCTGACATAAAAATACAGACGTAAAAAACCTCTTTTGCACTAGTGACACCAATTAATATATGTTGCAGTTGTTGGTATATATATAGTATATAGTAGTATATATTATGTATCTAAATTAGCCATTAACCAACCGAATTATAGGAGCAGTTAATGTGGAGAAAAGGAGAAATATAGTAGTGGGACGGCTCTCCCGTTAGATTCAGTGCATAACCATCAAGTACTCAAAAGTCTTAAACTCTCATTCAATGATGATACAAAGTACAAACCACAAACAGGCAACAGCATACATGGGGGCCATTGTCAACTTGTCAACACATATCCACTTGCACACTTGCCCATTCCACGTCAGCACATCCTACAATGACATGGGGATGACCTTTTCCAACCCCACACATAGAGACGCGTTCAGACAACCACAACATCACGAAACCGGCCGTAGGTATGAAAAAAAAACCCTAAAAAAATAACCCAAATTTTGTAATCTCACAATATATTATAATAATAATAATCTCTCTTCAGTCTTCACCATTGACCAGATCTCTTTATATGTCCCATGTCAGCCCTTATATTCTCCAGCTTAAGCTACAACCAATTAACTATGCTTAACGCTTCTTCTCCACTCTTCAGCCTCAACATGGATCAATTCCCACACATTATTCCCACAGAAAGATCACCCAGAAGAGAACTACAACTCCAAGGTCCACGCCCCACACCGCTTAGGATAAACAAAGACTCTCACAAGATCAAGAAACCACCGTTGCCGCCGCAAGCCTCACACCCTCAACCTCCACCGCGCCAACCCATCATAATCTACACCGTTTCACCCAAAGTCATTCACACCACACCCGGTGACTTCATGAACCTCGTTCAACGCCTCACTGGCTCCTCCTCCTCCTCCTCTTCATCCTCATCCAACTTGGAAGCGAATAATAATGACCCTTTCAACGCCGGAGGAGTGGTGTCTCCGGCGGCGCGTTACGCCACCATCGAGAAGGCCATGTCCCCGATGGGGAAGAAGCAGCTTGTGAATATCCCAAGTGGGGGTGCTAATAGCAATAGTAACATAATAAGCGATGAGATTATGGGTCATGCGGTTGTGGAAAGATCACAAAACATGTTTCAAGGGATTTTGTCTCCGGGTCCGGCTTCACTATCTCCCATTCCTTCGAATTTTTTCTCTCCACCGTCTTCGGATCCGAGCATGGTTAGCTTCCTTCACGATTTGAGTCCTGTGCTTCATAGTGGAAGAAATCTCACGGAGGGTGCGTTCGTCTTGCCAAGCCCTTCTTCCAACTTTAGCTTTGTGTCGCCGCACACTCCTTCTATAGACTTATTCAACTATTTCTTAGACTAGTGGATTAATATTCTTCTTCTTGTTGAATTTAGTGTTTTATTAATTTCACTGATTTGGAATTATTAGACTAGGGATTGGTTTTGTTGCTCTTTTGGGCGACTACTGCATAGGTGGAAATTGGAAACTTCTTTGTTGGATTTTGTTTTGGGGCAGTTTGTGCTCCAATTTCTTATGACCTTCGCCGTTGACAAATTTTTTGGCATGTATTGTACTGTACATTGCTTTTAGTTTAGTTTAGTTTGCCGATGCATGTCGGCACTAGCTATATTATTCAATTTCATTATTCTTTTTATTATCAGAATCATCACATGTATGCTATCTGGCAATCTTTCATCATTGAAAGCATCTACCCGACCCCTATTTTAAAACTCCATCGCATTTAGGTTATGCTCTCCGATAATATATATGTGGCCGGCCTAATTAGGTGTGTCCTTATGCAATTAATTGGGATTCAAAAAGTGGAGTCACCGGAGAGGTGTTAATTCTTATGTTAACCCCTCAAAACCAAAATAAATACTCAAGAACAAAAAATAATTTGTCTTTTATTTTTGTTTTTTGGAGTATCATATCATTATCATATCATATGGAATTGGTAGGTAAGAAATTAATTAAACTCTTGGTACATCTGCAACAACAATGACATTTGGACACCTTTTATTTACAAACACTTCCAACAAAGTCGGTTTATTTTAGTACTTTTTTTGACCCATAACTTTTTTTTTTTTGTTTACTATAATATGACATCTTAACTCTAGAGAGGTGTTATATATATACTTATGTTTGAATGTATATAAAATCACGGATCCTGTATAGGTATTTTCCAAAAATTCTAGCAAAATTACAGTTTACCTTAGTTATTAGGAGTAAAAACAAGTTACGAACTAGATTTTGCTAAGCTTGGATTTGGTAATAATGAGTTAAATATATATGATCTGAGTGTGATTAGTTTGTTTACTTGTCATAATTAGGCCTTTTTTAAAACTCTGGCATAACCTATAAGTATATTTAAAGGACTATAAAGTAATAATTTAACACCAATATATAAGTAAAAATAAATATATTAAGTTTTATAAAATCAAATCTAGCTTGTTCATAAGATATATATAAACACATTGTTCATAAGATATATATATATATATATATATATATATATATATATATATACTATATATATATATATAAACACATTTTTAAGGTGTAATATACAATATTTATGGAGACAACTTATTTAAATTATAATAAGAGCTTTAAATATGACAGAAATTTATGCTTTAACAAACTTAAAAGCTTTCACATTCTATATAAGTCAACATATTTAATTTTTAATAAGGTAAAAAAAAAGTATGATATTAACACATTATAACAAATTTAATATAATAATAAATACTAATTTTTAATTAAATAGACTTTAATGAAAGTATTGACCTATCTAATGTATTTTCTAAAAAAGTTTAGCTTGGTTGTGTCTAGTGCAAATTAAGATTTAGAGTTTAGAATTTAGATTTAGGTCACAAGTTCATACCGAACAACTTAATCTATTTTTATCTCTATTAATTAATATAAATATATCTAATTATGATGATAAATCATTGTGCCTCTTGACTAAAGCAATAGTAGGTAACTATTATAATGGTTGGCAGGATCGAAATAATTTATTCTAATCAATTTTAAATCTATTGAGTACCCAATCTCTGGGTCCTTAAATACATAACTGTGAAATAGTTCATGTATTCAAGTGACTCAATTTGGCTTAATGCCTTTAAGTTAGGAGAATACATAAAGAAGTCATACAAATAAATATTAAATAAGAAAATAATTTTTTAACATAGGGCCATAAAGGAAAACTCTCTTAAAAAACAAAAATAATCCAAGAATCAATCTCTCAAATTTAAGAAGACATCGGATTGGAATTATGAAAATAAACTTTAAGAATCGAGTCATCTATAATCCGTATTGAAATTGAAAGCCAAAATTTTAAATCCCTAACTGGCTTTTATTTATATATATATATATATATATATATATAT